ACACCAGCCCGCTGTGGCGAAGCTCTCCAATTCCAACACTGTATGTTGCTTTAGTGGACGACCGAGAAGATTGGCAGCTGCGTGGTCATCGGCGCCCGATGGTCGTCGTTAAGGCTTGACGGGCAATACCAGCGTCGGAGGTGGTGGACCTCGTCAATGTGTTCGTCGCGTAGGTGTTGGAGGTTGTCAGCAGGACATTAATGGATTGAGTGGTGGCATGATAGTCCATGTGCAGGGGATAACGGTGGTTCTGGACTGGTGCAGAGACGGCTATGACGGTGGCGAGAGTCTAGCGATGGAGTAGGAGCGAAGTTGTGCGACTCTAGTTGTGTCGTTGGCTGCGACGACAGGGGGAATAGGAGCTCTATTGTTAGTGTTATATACTGAAAGCTTGGCTTTGCATGTTATTACACATTTACCCTTTATGAATGAGAATCATGTTAGATTAAACAAGTTCTACGTTCTGTTGTTCTGCACTTAGATAGTGTGGGTCGTCATCGGGCGAACCGAAAATCACTCTATCAGTTACTTGCGAACAAGAATAGTTGTTCACAACCTAGATGGACATGAACACCCCATCCAAACGGTTGTAGTGTCAACTGTACAGTTTGTCTTGACTGATTAGCTGCACTAGTACATTTATGTATTGAACAGGATCCCAGAGAGGAGAAGTTCATTTTATACTGATCGTCGTAAATGAACTAGGCCTCGGTTAATTACTGCGTTCTCTTAACATGTAAGATATTAAACAGGCAAATATGTATAATATATATTACTTTGATTCACATGGGTGAGGTTCAGTTCGCTGGATTAATATTCCTACTATTTTGGGTAATATTATTATATATAGGATGTGCTGTTAGGATATTTACGGTCACCATGTGCGTTAGTTTGATGATGTCCCCGGAGTGAGTTCATGAAGGATTGTTATGCTAAACCCTGCAGGTGGATTATGTTCCGGCATAATAAGAATGTGATGAACGAGCGCTAGCTTCGGTGAAATAATAAATTAATTAATTAATTCTTGATTGTCAGTAATTGAATTAATTAATGGACATTATATCTTAAACGTGGGGAGGTAAATCGAGTAATTATTATTGGAGTCTCAAATGTAATTTGGGCTAGGAAGAGGGAGTGCAATAATATAATGTTGGTGGCCCACTAATATTATTTAATTAATTAGAGGAGTGGGCTTGGCCCACAGTTAGTCTAATCAATTAAGGAGCCCTTTTCCTAATCTCCTTAGGGTCCCTACTGTAGCTCTATATATACATCATTAAGCTCATGAGAAGGCAATATAGTTCACATCTCACGTGAAACACGCCTCTCTCTCTAGATCTCATTCGAGCTTTATCTTCTTCTTGTTGCTCCACTGGTACAAGTTGAAGAAGGGTGTATTGAGTAATACAGTAGAAGATCTGTAGGTAAACCGAGACGAAATATATTTTGACCTACATAACTAACCGGAAGTCCGATTGAGACGTACAGTATACCCAGACGACCGTCTCGACGAGAGCTTTCCATCGCCGCTGACGTCGCCGGATTCCGACGCCGCACGCGCCCTCACGCACCATCGGAAGGTGCCTGGCAGCAATTTTCGTTTTGATCTGATCTTGTTCGCGCAACCCAAGACGTGATTTGCGGTTAATCAATTGCGGTCAACCGTTCGTGGTCAACCAGATCTACATAAATTTTAAGACGTAAGTTCTCTACGTCAAACCTTTAGTTCCGCTGCGCATAGGTTTACGTTTGCTATTGAATTCGTGATTTGTACATAACGAGATCCTCACAGATCCCAACACTCTAGCGGCAGCTGTGGGGCGGGGAGACTCCAGAGGCAGTGGCAGACCCTCAGAGACCGGGGGNGAGGTGTTGAGAGGATAAGGGGCTCTATTTTAAAAATTAGATAAAGCTAAAGGACTTCTATGCAAATTAAAATAGTTAACTATTTTTCATTTGGTACATGGGTTTAATTTATAATTTATTAAAATTTAATAAATACATCATTTTGATGAGTAAATTGCACATTATTACGTGTAGATATGCACATTAAAATACTAGTATTTTTTTTAAACGAAATTATTAACATTTTAAGAAATGCACAACACTGATACGTAAATTACTAAATTGCAAATAATATAACTGCTAATGAATATCTATCCGAATAGGGATAAGATCCCTCCCTAATCTCTCTCGCCCATTTCTTCCTTGCAGATTCGTCGCCACCTTCAATCGCCTTCCTCAGCGGCGCTACGTCTTTGCCGTTGGTCCTTCCCACAGCGGCCACTCAGCTGTCCTTCTGATGTCGCGTCTTCTCTCATCCCCATCGCCGGTGATGGTTTGTTGATGCCCGTGGCCATTTCTCGTCTTTCTCGCCAAGAATCGATTGGGGTTCTGTCTAATGTCTTTCGGTGGTGTTGCGGTGTTGCTGGGATGGTGTGGTTCAGGGGATGGGTTGGGAGTGGCTCGGGCGACTTGCAGCCTCTGTGTCGTCATTTCTTGTGGCTGAGACCCCGTATCTATCTCGTCTCTCTCGAACTCTGGGTCTTGG